GCTTCAGTACGTATTAAATGTAAGTGGTTTTGGTTGGAAAGAAATGCTTTCCTGGGGAGGGGAGTTTAGCTTAATGCTTAGCTGTAGGAACTGGTCTGCATGTATTTTAATTTCATCCCAAGTGCAGATTTGTGAAAAAGGACTAAATCCATGAAAAATCTCTTCTCTTGGGTTTTCTCATGTTAATGTAGTTTATTGACCCCTCATAGGACATTGATGTCAAGTACAATTTGCAGAGGTGGTTTAAGGGCTAATTTTATCTACGAACCCTTTCCAGACAGAGGTTTCTTCTATCACCTAGGTTAGTCAGGAGATCCTAGAGCTATTAAATACTACAACAGCCAAGGAACAATCCATTGTTGAAAAATTTCGCTCACGAGGTCGGGCTCAAGTTCAAGAGTTCTGTGACTATGGAACCAAGGAGGAGTGTATGAAAGCCAGTGATGCTGACCGGCCCTGTCGAAAGCTGCACTTCAGGTCTTTTTGGGGGGAAGAGGGTTGGCTGGGTCTCCTAGAAGCAGTCATTTTTAAAGCACGGTCCTTCCACTCATTGGGTTTGTCTTTAATACTGTTATTAAGTGCTTTTAATATGGTTTGTCTAAGACTTCAAGATTCTGAAGGTACACTTTCAGAAGTAGTGTTCTATGGGAGGGAATACAGGCTGCATTCTCCAAAAGATGTGAGATTTTAAAAAATTGCTCTTTTCTTGCAATAGCAGGATATCTTTGTCTTTGATCCCCAGTGAGTTAAAGTTCTCTAGAAGGATAGTCTTAGGAGAAACAAGAACCTGGCCTCTTAGGTCAGAGCTTTATTCCTGTCATAAGGAAGTTAAGTTTTTGCTCAGAGAGGAATTAAAAAAACATTTCTTTAGTGTAAATTACAGATTTTAATATCACCTGCTTTCCTTATTTGAAAACTTAGAGGAAGCTCTGATGACAGTGAAAGACTGCAAATTTTGCAACAATTTAGAACTTGAACTGGGGGATCTACCTGGAACACCATCTTGATTCAAACTGTCCCTTAATATTTCCCCAGACGGATCATCAATAAACACACTGATGAGTCATTAGGAGACTGCTCTTTCCTTAACACATGTTTCCATATGGATACCTGCAAATATGTTCACTATGAAATTGATGCTTGCGTGGATTCTGAGGCTCCTGGAAGCAAAGACCATACACCAAGCCAGGAGCTTGCCCTTACACAGAGCGTTGGAGGTGACTCCAATGCAGATCGACTCTTCCCACCTCAGGTACCTGTCTGCTCAGAAAACTTAACCTCAACTTAAGGACCTTTATCTCAGTAGAGCAGCCATACATGTAGGAAAGCAAGGCATAATCAGCAATCTCCCTTGCTGATTGGGAATGGAGCGGGTTAGATAGCATATGAGGGAACAGGAAAATCCAATGGAAAAAGAGGGACTGGGGCCATGAATCGGAGAGTGAAGGAAGGGAAGATGACCAAATACCACCTCATGCAGTGGATCTGTTGTGATATCCGCTACCTGGACGTCAGTATCTTGGGCAAGTTTGCAGTTGTGATGGCTGACCCACCCTGGGATATTCACATGGAGCTGCCCTATGGGACCCTGACAGATGATGAGATGCGCAGGCTCAACATACCAGTACTGCAGGATGATGGCTTTCTCTTCCTCTGGGTCACAGGCAGGTAATGCAGTTCAAAGATACGTAGGTATGGGCAGATATAGTACAGAGTGAGTACTGGGTGGGGATAAAATCTTGGGTTTTCCTAGCTCTATTAAACTTATGACTCAGTCAGCCTTTCTTACCTACTGAGATCTGATGCCTGTTTATAACACAAATGATACCATGAATTCTGTTTAATTCTACATTTGTTTCTTGTGAAAGGTAAGACCATTGAGAATAGATACTGTGTTTTTTCATTCTTAGATCCATCCTCTTGCCCCAGTGGTGTCTTGCATGTAAATGTTCACTGAATGTCTATTGAAAACAACACATATATCTTGAAGGGAGAAAAAATACTGGCATGGAAGTAGCTGTTTAACCCTTATTTCTTTCCAGGGCCATGGAGTTGGGCAGAGAATGTCTGAACCTCTGGGGGTAAGTAGCCATCACTGTTGTTTTCTTCTGAGGGAAATATGTAGTTGATAGGGTTTCCTTCTTCAGAGTATTCTGTGATTCCTTGCCTCTGTAGAGTAGATGGTATCATCCTTAAACTGTGAAACCCTGATTAAAGTTCTGATTTTTTTTCCTTATATCCCACAGTTATGAACGGGTAGATGAAATTATCTGGGTGAAGACAAATCAACTGCAGCGCATCATTCGAACAGGCCGTACAGGTCACTGGTTGAACCATGGGAAGGAACACTGCTTGGTGAGCAGCAGTGGGGCCCAATACATTAGACGAAGCAAAAAATAGGAATTGTTTGATTTCTTATTGAGAAACAGTTCAAATATTGGGGTTTCATAAAACTTTCATACATTTTTCATCATTCTGTTCTCTGGTGAGCAGGTTGGTGTCAAAGGAAATCCCCAAGGCTTCAACCAGGGCCTGGACTGTGATGTGATCGTAGCCGAGGTATGTGCTCTCCCCAGGCGCCCAGAGGGCCGCATGTTAAGTCAGCTCTTCTAGTCAGGTAGACTCTCATCCCAGGGTTTCTCATTGGGATCATCAACATATGCGGAAAGGGCTAGAATTGCGATCTTCGTTTCCTAGGTTCGTTCCACTAGTCATAAACCAGATGAAATCTATGGCATGATTGAAAGACTGTCCCCTGGCACTCGCAAGATTGAGTTATTTGGACGACCACACAATGTGCAACCCAACTGGTAAGGAGACCAGAGAACATGCTAGCCCCCAAGGGCACAACTGCTTATGGTCAAATATATGTTAGTAGAGCATCACCTCACATTCCACTAGTCTGTAAATGGGCTTCAGAGGATTCTTAAGCGCCCAACATTCACTGGAAAACCAACAGGTTTTTAAGATTTAAACACTGCTCTTAAGGTCTCCACCCCTAAAGCTCTTCATTATTCTACTGGATGTACTGAATCTGCCCCCTGGTGGTTACTGAGAACCTATTTAATCTGTCAACAATTTTAATTTTAGTCTTTCATCCTGTAAGTAGAGCTTTAAAAGACACGCTGTTAGCATGTCACTCATCCATAGTCACTGGCAACAGCAACTTTGTGACGCACGCCTTGGGATTCCCTGGTGGCTCAGACAGTAAAGCGTCTGCCCGCAATGCTGGAGACCCGGCTTCAATCCCTGGGTCAGGAAAATCCCCTGGAGAAGGAAATGGCAACCATTCCAGTATTCTTGCCTGGGAAATCCCATGGACAGAGGAACCTGGTGGGCTACAGTCCATGGGGTCGCAAAGAGTCGGACACAACTGAGCGACTTCACTTTCACTTTCATTAACCCTTAATTAGTACAGATCCAGCCTCTTTTAACATCAGAATCTGCCCAATTTCTTACCAGCCTTAGTACCATATACTATCTTTATAAAAGAATTGGCACAGATATTCAGATGCCTGTTGAGATGATAGGCAGACTTAATGAAAAGAACACATCTTTTAACAGTATTAAGCCTTTAAATTCCAGGATTTTGGGCTTGCCCCATCTTTCCCCTTGCTTCAGGATCACCCTTGGAAACCAACTGGATGGGATCCACCTACTAGACCCAGATGTGGTTGCCCGATTCAAGCAAAGATATCCAGATGGTATCATCTCTAAACCTAAGAATCTATAGAAGTACTTCTGAACCGAAGCATCCATAGCCATGGCTCTACAGGCTGCACCTGAAGAGTAATATTTGTACAATAGCTTTTTCTCCCCCTTATTTAAATAAAAGTTTGTATTGTAGTTGCAATTTCGAGGTCAAGTTCTGGCTCTGCCACTTAAGAGTGTGTGATCTTGTGTAACTCAACGTAGTATGACTGCTTATAAATGTAAACTGGGAATATTACCTGTCTTATTGGGTTGCTATAAGGCTTCAAACTAAATGAATGTATGGAGAGCATTAAAATGTTGATTTGATCAGCAGTTTTATAAACATGATAAGAAAGGGTTCTCTGGGACATTTCTCAAGGTAAGATCTGAGTTTCACTTAAGATTATCATCACTAGAGCTGTCATGTTTTAAATAGTTGCTTATTCTGTTACAACTGTGGCTTTGCTAGTTTTTTATTCATTTAATTCCAAGAAAAATGAAATAAGCACATCTTACATTAAATAAGTGCCTAGGGTATGCAGAGATTTAGCCTATATAAGTGAAAACACTTCGGGCCTATTTTTTAAAAGATAATTTCATCAAACACAAGTGAACACAATTTCTTTAAACTTTGGTGAAACCTCTTATATTAAGGAAGTAGAGTTCTGCCTTTCACACTCTTAAACTGTGATACGATCAGAAAGTTGAGTACAGAAATATAATTGCAGAGAAATAAGAAGCTCCTAGGTGATGTTATCTTCTCTACAGTCCAATGTGCTTGCTATTACTGTGTTGAAAACCTTTGTTCTCAAACTAATAATGTACAGATGTGATAGTAATAGTTCTCTAAGAGGTAACCTTTAATGCAACCTTTTAGCCCCTTTAGAAGGGATGCACATAGTGATGTTTTTTCCCTAGGCTCAAAGCTGAGTACTCTTATCATTTTAATAATCTTTTAGGTAAATCCTATGACAATTATACCAACAAGTTTCTTGAAACAGTCCCCCACCCAGCCATCACCCCTATGTTCTACTTGTTTATATTCCCTTCACCCTTTCCTCTGTTATTATCACTGATACCTCTGCTTTTACTTGAAAGCAAAATGCAATTCCAGATTGCAGCAAACTCAGTGGCCCTGTTCTATAGCCCCTGTAGAAGAGCGACAGAAGGGGAGAAACGTGAAAGACATAAAGGATCATCATGGGTTGAGATCAGGCACTACCAGAAGCCTCGCTTGTCTTTTTAAAATAGGCTCGGTGGACATGTTCCCAGCAGTAAGTCTTCACTGGCTTGGAGAACAGGAAGTACTATTTCACAAACACCACTGTGTTTGAGTTTCTAGAGGCTACCCAGGCCAAGAAGACATCCCTAAGAAAGAAAAAGATACACACAAACTTAGAATTACAGCCTAGATATGTTTTTTTAAAACTCTGTCTTAAACAAATAGGTTGATATCACCTAAATAGGAATATAAGGGCAATAGGCCTACAAGTCAGAAGTATAGGCAATCCTAATTTAAAGGATTTGAGATGGGAAATACCAATGCCTTGTTTCATGGATGTAGGTCAATCTCAGGAAAACGGGAAATGGGCAGAATCTTCAGAACTTCTTCTCTTCGCCCCATACGGAGCATTTTATTGTGCTACTTACCACCTATCCATCCTCAAACTCTAACTGATTACCTAAGTGGTCTGGTTTGCACTAAGGAGATAAACTATACTAATATTCACAGTCACCAACAGCTTGATGTGTCATAGTTTCAAAATCAACACTTAGAGCTAATGTGGTAACTGAAAAGTGTGAACTGCTAATTATGTCATCTTTGTCTATACGGCAAATGTAAGCTCTTTTTAAGGACGGAAACTTTTCTAGTAGCTTCTGTAATCAGACATACATAGCAACCTACTCTACCTAAGGTAAAGTGATACTGACTATATGCTCAGATACCGTGTTATTCCAGCAGTTAATTTAGCCATACATTAATTATGAGAAGGGAACTGTAAGCTCACCTGCAGTGCTTCACCACGCACTCGTTGCTGCAGTACTCGTTGTCCCAGTCCTTACTCACAACGGGAGGGTTTTCACAGCCGGACCTCACACATCGAGGCTGGGGTGAAAGTGTCATGGGAGACCCACTCACCAATTCAACATCCATTTGAGAAGGAGACTCAACCTATGAGAGGAAAACAGCATCAAAGATGGACTAGATTGCTACCTAGCCAGCTAGTCAAATTAACTCTGATCCAGTGGAGCAACACATTTAGTCCCTCACACAAAGGGGTAAAGTTCCAAAGGAAGGTGAATTCTTGGTCTCACTCCAAATCCAGCTTTAGAATTTTGCCATCCAGACTGACATGATGCTTCCCATCAGGGGAATACTGGTCATAATGCTAGTGTTTAATCTTAGCCTATCACTAACTTTATTCTACACTTGAATAGTATTCCCCTGAAAATATCAATTCAAAAGTAGAATGTGAGTAGAGGTTGGGTCACCTCAACTAAGATCAGAGGGACTAAGAAGATAAACTTTTGAGATCCATAGTTACTGATTTTGCAGGGCGGGGTGGTGTGTTTTTTTTTTTTTAAACAATTGTTTCTCATGTTGATGTATGGCAGAAACCAACACAATATTGTAAAGTAGTTATCCTCTAATTAAAAAAAAAATGGCCCACATCAAAAAAACATTGTTTCATTAGTTACGAAGCTAGCATCACAAATAGACCCATATTTGAAGTTAAAACTAGGGTAAATTGGCATCTGTCTCTTTGGAAACACTCATCGATACGAACTAACTGAATTTTTCTACCTATATTCCCTGTCCATCCCTTTACTTAAAACATAAGCCAAGCAGTCAGGATTTGGGAGAAATGGAAGAATTTGTCTCTAAAGCTTTGGATCCTGAGGTAGACACTTGAAAAGTAACCATGCTTAGGCTGTATCTTTACTTGAACTACAGTATTACTTCTGCTGGGTTAAGGAGTAATCTAGGGCAGGAGGCCCTCTTAATGTTTCTTCTCAAGAACACTACAGAGTATCTTGGGTGGGACAATTCAGTTGTAAGCAACTGTCCTCTATAGGATATTTTGTATTCCTCATCAGGCATTAAATGCCAGTAGCAGCTCCTGCTTTTACTGTATCAACCAAAATGTTTTCACTGGTCTAGAGCAAATACTCGAAAACAGTCTCACCTCAGGAACTACATCTGTGATCATCTCACAGATTGTCTCAGGAGTGGTTTCCTCCACTGTATGGGTCTCAGGGCTGTTGTTCACAGGCTGCTCTGGACTACTTTCTACAGGTGGTGGAACTAAGGTAGTCTGCATTTTCAGAGTGGGTGGAGGCACAATCTTGACCTGCAGTGGAGGTGGCTGTTGCTGTAGGTTGATTCGAAATTTCTGAGGTGGAGGCTGTTGCATGGCCTGGAGTGGGGGAGGCTGTTGGAGAATGGTTACTTGCTGCTGAGTGGGGGGTTGAGGCATCTGCTGTAGTGGAGGGGGCTGTAGTCGCGGTGGAGGTAGTTGCATAGAAGCTGCTGCTGCTGCTGCTGCCTGCAACACCGATCGAGTGACAATCTGGGCTTGTTGACTGGGCTGGATAGTAGCTGTACTGGTTTGGCCAAGTTGGAGACCCCGAGAGGTCACCACTGTGGCTGGGATAACAGTAACCATCCCGCCTTGAGACATAGTAATAGAAGAGGGCAACATCTGTTTGGTAATAATCAACTTGGTAATATTGGGCTGACCCCCAGCCCCAGAGGATGCCTGGTTTGCCACATAGGATGAAAGAGTTGAATTGACAACAATGGAAGGAGACAGGGCAGGGGGCTCTGTTGAGGCGGGTGCTGGGGACGCTGGGTCAGCAGCAGCCGCAGGAGGTGGAGAAGGAGTCTGTGATGGTGGCGCTGGGTCCATGTCCACAGTTTCCACAGTGGCCTAAAAGAAGGTGAAAAAAAAATCAGGAGATTTATCCTCTTCTCTAGGGTATATTCACCCTAATCACCTTCCAAGAAAAAAATACATTACAGATGGGGGTGGGGGGCCGGGGGTGGGGTGGAGGTGGTGGGTAAAGAAAGAAAGAAAAATGGGCAGCCCTGTGTGCTATTTGGCTAAAGTAAACAATGACAATATCAAACTCAGAAAGACAGACTGTTTGGAGAGTTTTATGATGGAAACAAATGGGAAACCTGTTATATACTTTTAAGCTTTACTATTACGTAGTATTAATAGATTCTACAGATTTTTGGTGATATTTACTTCTCACAAATGCTAATAAGCAGCTCAAAAATCTGTTTATTGGTTTAAATATACATCTATCCCAGTCCTCTTACCTGACACTCTTGATTGTCTTTATAAGCAGCCAGAGCCTTCAGATACTCTTTCTTGGCAGCTTCTGTTTTCCTCTTATATACCTGCATGAAAGAGGCTGCTTAAAAAGTCCACATACTCATAGAAAAGACTAATAATCCTGTATTATTCATCAATAGACAATTCATCTTAGTGTAAATACTGACAACCCTTCTTAGGTGAATATACTCCTGAAAACTAGTACTCAAGACAGCCTTCATGGCAGACTTCTATATGAAAGCCAGCCAATCAACAGTAGGCTTGCAGAATAACTATACTTCTAAAGCTAATAGCAACCACTGCCCACACTTCTGTAACCAAAACAAATCCTGACCCCCTAACTACATTATAAGATCAGTAGTCTGCTTAGTCTGGGATCATGTCTTCCCAGTCAGTATACTCTCCCTCTTAAGGAATGTGGTAAGCTGTAATGATGGCCACAATTCTTCCTGTGCTGTGTACCTAATCTTCCATTAACAAGTGAAACCTATTTCCCCTTCCTTTGAATTTGGGCTAGCTCTCTGAGTTGCTTTAACCATTAGAATGTGGCTGAACTGACACAGAATTTGGGGGCACCTGTTTTTGTTCTCTTGGAACACTGCTCTTAGCCTGCCAGTGTAAAGAGTCAGTCTAGCCTATTTGGAGGATGAGAGACCATGCGAAAGAGAACCAAGGCGTTTAAGCCAACAGATAGCACCAACTGCCAGACATGGCAGCAAGGTCATCTTGAGCAGCCAATATCAGGCTGTCGTTTGTGAGTGCAACTGCAGGAATAAACCCAGGTAAGAACACCAGGAAAACCAATTTACAGAATCACAATAAGTAATAAATTACCTCTGTCTTAAGCTACTAAATTTGTGGTGGTTTACTGAGAAACACATAACTGATATAAATTATCTGTAATAAATTCAGTTTTTGTTTTAATGATTAACTTTGATATAACACCTGTGGTATCTAGGGTAATGATAATTACACTCATCTTTAATTTCAATTATATATTTATGTAGTACCACAATTTTCATTTGTTTAATTCAGGTTAAATTTAGGGAGGTTAACTATAGTTCTCAAATTTATATGAGGCCAATGAAAAAATCCAAACCTGGCTGTGGATTCAGTGTTTTTTATAATAATTTTTATGTAGGTATTTTGGATTCAGTGTATGGCTGCAATTTTTAAGACAGATGATCTTGAATACCATTAACAAAGAGTTGATATTAAATAACATGTGAGAAAGTTAAAAGCTTAGGTTGAATTCCCTTGCCTTTTTTTCTTTTTTTAAAAACCAATTAAAAAAAAATTATTTTGCTGCACCAGGTCTTAGTTGTAGCACGTGGGCTCTAGTTCCCTGACCAGGGATTGAACCTGGCCCACTGCATCCGAAGCGTAGAGTCTTAGCCACTGGACCAGCATGGAAGTCCCTATCCCCCTTCTTCTTAAGAACTTCTATAACATTCACTATCCACTTGTTCCTCATTATTTGCTCACCTGTTTTTGCTCTTCTCCAAGACTGTCCCACATAGAAGCCACAATTTTTGAAACCTCCCCAAAAGTGGCATTGGGATTCTGTCCCTTGATGGCAGCCTGTGTGTCACGAAAGAATAAAGCATATGCTGAAACTGGTTTTTGAGGTTCATTAGGATCTTTCTTTTTTCTCTTCTTTGGAGCCTTCTGCTTTTTCCCTGCTTCCACCACAACTGTCTTCTGGCTGGGAGGTTGCTGTGAGGAGAAAAGAGAGAGAATTACGAGGGAAGTATCACATCTGGAGAACTGACAGAAAAGGACTTTTATATGGGGTAAACTAGTCATATGAATGGAATTTTCAGAAATGCTAAATAAAAATTGAGGCAAGAGGATTCAGGCTTTAGTAAAGCATGTGAGGACTGGTTAAGTATGGGGGTTGGAAAAAGCATTATAAACTAAATTAAGAGGCAGGACCCCATAACCAGAAAAGAGCAGAGAAGATGGCAGGGCAGTAGGAGAGAAAACTTAGTAGGATCTGTATGTCAAGGGTTTTATCCCAGTGTAACATGGCAGATTTGATTTTGAAAGAGAATGCCTCACCCTCCGGAATTCCTCAACACCATCCTCATGAAGTGAACTTGTAGGTGAAGGGGTGGTTGAAAGACGATCCTCAGGTGACTGGGCAGGTGGCAGGATGGTGCCACCCCCTAAGCTCAGACCAAGTTGAGAACTCAGTTCTGACTGATCAATGGTGGTCAACTGGCTATGCCCCATCAAGCCAGATGTCATGTCTGTCATTGGTACATCAATTGTAACAGGTGGGTTGGCGCTATACTGCGTTCCTATAGAATGATCCAAGTCCTGAGAGAAGCAGAAGGACAAATCACACAGTAAATATAAAAAACACCACTTTTCCCTTCCCTGCACCTGCATTCAGGACAGTTTATAAACCCTCCGCTTACCCAGAATTCATCATCATTTAAACAAACATCAAATTTATCTACATATAAAACATTCTAAGCTTTTTAATAAGTATAGAAATTACAGGTTGAGTACTAAGTCACTTATTTGTACTCAAAGGCCTATTCCAAAATAACTAAAAACAGCCAAAGTCTTAATTCTGGGCAAGTTCAGAGCAGGTAAGTCATTCAGTAATCTGGAGACAGTGACGACACACAGGGGAAGGAAAACTTTCTCCCCGTACCCTCCTAAACAATGGCTGTTAGAGGTCAATGCACAGACAAATCAGAGTGAAGCTAGTGTTAGCAGAGATGTCTGGCGTCAAGTGTAGTGTGTGTTGACGTGCTGAAGACATGTGCTAGAAGTCCCATACAGTGATTTATAACACATATTAATCCACTTAATCCACGCATGGTTCAGACAGGTTTTGAATACACTCCTCAACATACCAGCAATCACACTCATTTGAATCGTAGAATGTGAAAGCCATAATGCAATAGGGAAAAAACTTTCCTTTCAAAAATCCAATAAATAATTTTCATTTCAGGGTTAACACTGGACATTTTACAATTTTAAAACATGTTTCAAGTAAAATTGATTCATATGATAAATCTCATTTATTCAGGGGAAGTGAGGTCTTTGTTAGTGAGCCTTTAGTCAGAAGAATGAAAAATAAGTAATACCCAAGGGACTTAAGTAGGGCATACAGAGTCACTTGTATCTCCCCTAACACCATGCCCATGAGTTTGGGTAAGCCTGATAATGTCTTGCCCCTTACCATGGTCAAGCCCCCACTCAGGAGCCCCCCGCCCTGCTCCATCAAGCCATGGGTCATGCCCACAGGCATGTCCAACGTCTGGACCCCATACTGGGCTGAAAAGCTGCCATCCTGAGAGGAGGAAGGGTCTGCCAGGTCATCAAAGTGGCCAACCACATCTGAGACAGCCAATGAGGGATCAGAATCCAAGGAGATAGGTGGGATTTCAAATTCCTCATCACCCAGGCTTGGTGTGTGGAACGTCTGTAGGGAGGAAAAAAAGGAAAAAGATTTAGTGGAAAGAAGAGGAATTGCATACTGCTAAGCGAAGAACGTGCCTGAGTACAAGACATTCTTCGTGTACTTCTTTTCAGCCTGGATCGCATTTTTGTTATCAATATCTTAGGACTTGTTTAATTTTAAAAATAAGTCTCTTTTTTCTCGTATCTTTGGCCATATGTCATGTACAAAGCTGCCAATATCAATCACAGTTTTCAATTCATTTATATCTCCTACCTTTACCATCTTGCTTGTCCTAAACTATTTTGCCTGTTGGTCTAATGAATGATTCTTTCAGCACCATTAGTAACGACCCAACCTTTCTAACCTGTTTTGTTATGATGCTTAAAAATCTGTCTGAAGATTCTAGGATACAGCCATTATTTCATAATTACTACACCAGAACTGTTAGACCACAGAAATTCATGTCAACCAGACAATCAGACTTTGTTGTTTTAGGGTACTCTGAAGCAGATCCTAAAAGGAACTGTCAGCGGGACCTTATGCACTTCTAAAATATATGCACTTGAGAGTTTCCATTTTAGAAATCATGATTTGTACAAAATTCTCATATGTACAGGATTTTCAGAAAACCCAACAATGCCAACCAAAATAAGGATAACAGTGAGGAGAAAAACCTTCATGAGAGATATAGCCAGAGGGCAAACTGGTTCTCTAACAGTTCCCGAACACATTCCTGTCTTGCTCTGAACAAGCCTTTCTGCAAGAGAGGAAGAAAAAGATTACTCCAGCTGGAAGACCTAATCACTTCCTCTGAATCCAATTACAGTAATAATACGCTCTTTCTACTCAGTGGTAAAGAACCTGCCTGCTAATGCAGGAGACGAAGGAGACTCAGGTTCAGTTTCTGGGTCAGGAAGATCCCCCAGAGAAGGAAATGGCACCTCACTCCAGTGTTCTTGCCTGGGAAGCCCCAGAGGCAGAGAAGCCCGGTGTGCTGCAGTCCACGGGTCACCAGTAGTCAGACAGAACTGAGTGACTGAGCGTGCAGGCATGCACTCTGGATGAGGCCACCGTTCATGGAGGTAACAGATCAATGTCTGACTTAAAATACATTGAATGCTGTGGTTTCTTTTGACACTAAAAAACTAAAAACAACATCTGCAGCAACAGAGCATTAATAACAACAGCAATAGAGCATTAAAAGCAAGAGACTTTCGTGTCACAGAGATCTGGGTTCAAGTCCCTTCTCTGCCACTTGCTGCTGCTGCTGCTGCTGCTAAGTCACTTCAGTCGTGTCCGACTCTGTGCAACCCCATAGATGGCAGCCCGCCAGGCTCCCCCGTCCCTGGGATTCTCCAGGCAAGAATACTGGAGTGGGTTGCCATTTCCTTCGCCACTGCCACTTGCTGTATGACCTCAAATGGGTTTCCCTCATAAAATCAGAGCTGTAATCTCCTTATATGGTTATTAGGAGGACTAATGGGATTTACTACACAAAGGTTTGTCACATGGCCCTGATATATATAATTACTTAGTGATAACACTAATATCCTAATGGTTAGCTTGTCACCTACCCCAACCAATTATCACAGATTGTTGGAATTTTAGAAACTTAAAATTTTATCAACCTGTCATATGGCACAATAAACATTAACTGATTCAGATGAAATTCAGTAGATACCCACAGGTATTTTTTTTTCTCTTCCATAATTAAGTAATGTATCTCAAGCAGGATTTTAAAAAGGCAGAGGAACCAGAGATCAAATTGCTAACATCCACTGGATCACAGAAAAAGCAAGAGAATTCCAGAAAAACATATATTTCTGCTTCACTGACTACGATAAAGCCTTTGACTGTGTGGATCACAACAAACGGTGGGAAAATCTGAAAAAGACAACACCAGACCACCTGACCTGCCTCCTGAGAAACCTGTATGCAGGTCAAGAATCAACAGTTAAAACTGGACATGGAACAATGGACTGGTTCCAAATTGGGAAAGGAGTACGTCAAGGCTGTATATTGTCACTCTGCTTATTTAACTATATGCAGAGTACATCATGCAAAATGCCAGGCTGGATGAAGCATAAGTTGGAAACAAGATTGCGGAGAGAAATATCAATAACCTCAGATAGGCAGAAGACACCACCCTTACGCAGAAAGCAAAGAGGAACTAAAGAGCCTCTCAGTGAACATGAAAGAGGAGAGTGAAAAAGCTGGCTTAAAACTCAACATTCAAATAACGAAGATCATGGCATCTGGTCCCATCACTTCATGGCAAATGGATGGGAAAACAATGGCAACAGTGACAGACTTCATTTTCTTGGGCTCCTGAATCACTGCAGATGGTGCCTGAAGCCATGAAATTAAAAGACGCTTGCTCCTTCCAAGAAAAGCTATGACCAAACCTAGACAGCATATTAAAAAGCAGAGACATTACTTTGCTGACAAAGGTCCGTCTAGTCAAAGCTATGGTTTTCCCCAGAGTCATGTATGGATGAGAGAGTGGGACCATAAAGAAGGCTAAGCACCAAAGGATTGATGCTTTTGAACTATGTTGTTGGAGAAGACTCTTGAGAGTCCCTTGGACTCCTAGGAGATCAAACCAGTCAATTCTAAAGGAAATCAGTCCTGAATATTCATTGGAAGGACTGATGCTGAAGCTGAAGCTCCAATACTTTGACCACCTGATGCGAAAAGCCAACTCGCTGGAAAAGACGCTGATGGTGGGAAAGACTGAAGGCAGGAGGAGAAGGGGATGACAGAGGATAAGATGGTTGAATGGCATCACCGACTCCATCGACATGAGTTAAAGCAAACTCCATGAGACGGTGAAGGACAGGAAAGCCTTGCAAGCTGCAGTCCCCGGGGTCACAAAAAGTGGACACAACTGAGCAACTAAACAATAACAACAATATTCTTTAGGAAAAACTAAAACTCTCCCTAAGAACTGAACTGAACTTTCCTCAGTACACAAATCATAATTTTTCTTATTGTGTGGAAGTTCTTAACTTCAGTCCATGACACAGATTTCAGTTCAAGTTCATATGAACATTTTTCAGGAAAAAGAGTACAAAGATTTTTACCAAATTCTGATGTAAACAAACAAAAGTTACAGTGACAGGAAGGATCCAGAGAAACATTTGTTGTATTAGATCAACAGCTGTAAAATATAGTGGTTTACAATTTTTTAATAAGATACAGGTTGCTTTGGTAAAGCAAAAGATGACTGTCCTTTTCTGCTTACCACAACAAATAAGAAAAGTAACTCTGCTGATATGAAAATGATACTATTTGTTAATGAGAACTGAAAAAAGAATAAAAATTCATACAAAAGACCAGTGTTCTACAAAGGACTAGCCCTCATAAACCATCTGGAGTATTCTCATGAACTACACTAAACACCAAAGCAGCAGAGATTTCACTGCGTCAAATTAACAAGGCATTCTTTCTATGTGCCACCCACTGGAATGTGGAAACAGCTTTGTTATTCTGCATCTATGGCTTTAATGGTGTTTTGTTTTTTGTTATTTTGTTTCTTCCTTTAAAAAGGAAGAGTAAAGTAACTGCAATGATCAAGAATACAGAAGGGAAAACCACCTGTTAGAATGGAGATCTACTCTAAAGCTTTTTTTTTTTTTTTTTTTACTCTAAAGCTTTTACTACCACAAGCTATTGGTAAGATTATTAGATAATGATTATCTAAAGTTCTTTTATTTCAGTGGATTCACTATATAACTAAATCATAAACTCTAGCTTGCCAAATATAAAACAGATAAAACTGTAGCAAATATTAAAGTAAAACTAAATGATCTAGACACAGAAAAAGGAAATAGAAACATGAGTCCTCTACCTTCTCCACTTAACTTTCATTTCCTTCTGTTAAATTCCTGGGGCTTTATGAAGAAGAAAGCAATTTGGTAATTACAGTTTATAAGCAAGGATTATAAAGGTTTAGCTATCTAGAGAACTAAAAAAATTAAAAATACAATTTGTCCTACCTCTTCACATTCCTCCATACCAAAACACACAATCCAGTATTTAAGTAATTTCTTGTGTAGATTATTCATCTTAAGGAAAAGTTCTTTTAATCAAACACTGATTTATTCAACAATACACTGGTCCTATGGATTATTAAAATAGTTTAATTGTTCTTAAAAATTGATACAGTAATGAAAATTAAACTATTCAGCCTGAAATCATTAATTGGTTCTAATGATTACTTAGAAAATTAGGAAAATTAAGGACAGGTATCTTTATGACTGGGGCTTCCCAAATGGCACTAGTAGTAAAGAACGTGCCTGCCAATGCAGGAGATGCAAGAGACGCCAGTTTGATCCCTGCATCAGGAAGATCTCCTGGAGAAGGGAATGGCAACTCACTCCAGTATTCTTGCCTGGAGAATCCCATGGACAGAGGAGCCTGGCGGGCCACAGTCCATAGGGTCACAAAGAATCGGACAGGACTGAAGCGACTTAACATGCAAGCATGCATCTTTATGACTAATTTCCCCAGAGTGCTCAAAGTACGGTATCATTATTTAAATGCCAACCTTAAACAAGATAGAAAGATTAAACTCCCTTCAGACTATAGAGCTCTCCTAGCTCAAGCAATGCTATTATAAATGCTAAGCCTGCCTCTCTGGACACTTAATCTTTGAAAATTATTATTTCTTATTTTATTGAGGTATAACTTGTGTAAAGCACATATATTTTAAGTGTATGGCTCAATGAATTTTTACATACGTTAACACTCAATTATCTACTATCCAGATAAAGATACAGAACATTTTCATTACTCTAAAAGATTTTCTCATGCTCTTTTCTAGTTAATACTCCCTCCCTTCCACAATGGGTACCACTATTCTCATTTCTATCAGCATAGTTTAGTGCTGTCTATTCTTGATCTTAATTTTAAAATGAATCCATATAGTGTCTACTCTTTTTTATTTGGCTTCTTTTACTCAATAATATATTTTTGAGATCACTCAGGTTGCATTTATTAGTAGTTCATTATTTTTTATTGCTGTGTAGTATTCCTTTTAACTATAAACCTATTCCTATAAACCTATCAGTTTATAGACAGTTGTTTCCACTGTTTAGCTATATAAACCAAGTTGCTGTGGACATACATGTTTTTGATTAGTATATGCACTCATTTCTCTTATGTATATATCAAGGAGTGGAATTACCAGGGCACAGGATAACTATATTTTATGTGTAGTAGATACTGCTAGTTTTCCAAAGAGGCTGAATCAATTTACACACTCACCAGCAATGATTAAGAGTTATCTACATCTTGCCAACTCCTGGAATGATCAGTCTTTTAAATTTTCACCATTATGATGGGTATAAAATGGTACCTCAGTGTTAACTGGCATTTCCCTGATAAGTGATGATGATACTTTTTCATATGCCTAGTGACAATCTGGACACCCTCTCTTCTGATGTGCAAGTTTAAATCTTTTGTCCATTTAAAAATTGGGTTCTTTATTTCACTCTGCAGAAGTACCTGAATATACTCTGAATGTGAGCCAGATATATGTAAAAAATATCTTCTCCCAGTCTGTGAAGTGCCTATTTAAATTCTTAATGTTGTCTACTGATGAAAAGTTCTTAAATTCTGGAAATTCCCTGTTGGTCTAGTGGTCAGGACTTCGCACTCAACTGTTTGGGCCTGGGTTCAGTCCCTGGTTGGGGAACTACAACCTGGCAAGCTGCACAGCATGGCCAAAAAACAAAAAAACCACCTTATTTCAAAGAAGTCCATTTTTTTCAACTTTTTTTTATGATAAGTATTTTTGTGGACATTTCTTTTCCTTGCAAGAAACTCTAAAAATTACTCTTCTAAAGAAAAAAAAGTTAAATTACCTTCATCTTGTTTTAAGATATATTTGGGGTGGCACACAGTAAGACCAGAAACAACAAAAACCACAAACCAATTGAAATAAAGGAAAACAAACACACAAGAGGGGAAACAAAGGTGAAGTAGTTGTAATGGATAAGGAGAAATGGTAACAATGACAGGGCCCTAGGCTAAAGGAATCTACTGAAATTTAGTTATGAACTTCTTAGCAAAAGAATTTATAAAAAGTTTTTTTCTTAAAGTAATAAAAGCAAACACAAAGAATAGACTCAAACCTGGAAAACTTCTTGATGAGGCCAATATGAAATTTATGACACTCTAAATAAAGAAATTTAAATTGTGGAGACTTGATTCAGAAGGAATTGGTCATGACGTGCTTTCATGTGGATAAGACCAATGTGAAATCTACAACACTCCAAATAATGAAATTAAACCATGAAGATATCGCTCAGAAGAAACTAACAATGAGATTGCAAACCATCAAACAGATTTTAGTTTTATATTATTCTTAAATTTGCTGTTCCTTTGATTCACACTTTACCTGGGAGTGTAAAAATAAATAGTAATCACAATAAAGTGAAAAAAAAAAAAAACCTAGCAACCCCCCCCCCCCCCGCCCATCTAATTCTCATACATGAAAGCATTAAGGTTTGTTACAGGATAAGTTCATGAATGCGTGCCAAGTCGCTTCAGTCCTGTCCAACTCTTTGCGACCCTATGGATAAGTTCATTCAACAGCAATTGAGAATTCTTGATACAAAAAAGTGATCAAATGGTTTATGCCAAGTTTGAAAACAATTTAAAATTCTCAAAAGGCAGTAGAAAGTTCAAAATTTCAGTTTCTCAAAGACTGAATTGATTTTTGTCCCATCCTTTTCTATTGCCTTATCTAAACAAATCATACATATTTATGACAACATTTCAATTAAACCTTTTCCACGAACACTAAAGGACCTCACCATGATCATTACTTCTACTTCACAACATCGTAAGAAACTATTATTACAACTATCTGACAGCTAGGGAAACATACACGCAAGGGTGAAGTAACCTACCCAAACTCTGAGGCACTGGCAAACAGAAACGCACATTCTACTCAACTCTCATGTTTTCTCGCAAATATTTCCTTTCATTCTCTCACTAGCACAACAAGCTAACACTCTGTAAGTAAACATAACCATTAACTTTTCTAAAAATCGCTAGGTAGGAAGTTTTAATGAAACACAGACCCCTTCAACAGAGTACGGTTTAAGAATGAACACATTCCACAGTTAACATGTTAGGTAAACTCCTGCCCTTTCCCAAATTTCTTTGGCTGAAACATTCTCTCCCTACTGCGATCTCCCATTACTGTACTTGTTTCTCCTCCACGAAAGGAGACAATTTCACTCTATACTCCAATACAGAATCGCTCTAAAATAGGTTCGCTTTTTCCAGCGTCCTGCTTTTCTGATGACAGCAGCTTTCCTGGCTTTCCACGTAGTCCTCATAGGCTCTGAAGGCAGCTGCCACTTTTCTCCAAACATCAATCGCAGCCTCCGGTTCCCAACCCCCGGGCCCTGGCGTCCGCGCTCGCCTCCCCATCACCCTACCCCACCGCCGCCTCCCGCCCACTCCGCGCAGCGTCAGGAACTCAAGCTCACCTCGGCCCCGGACAGGAAGGGGTGCGAGGGCCCTGTGATCGTCAGGTAATTGTCATTTCCTCCGGGAAACTGGAAACCAAAAGAAAGCCGCGGGGATAAGTTAGGGGAAGCAGGGAGTTAGCTCGGAGCGACGGATTCTGACCCAGACACTATGACAACACCCCCCAAACCCCGCTCTCTCTCCCCTCCCGTCTGCCGCCGCTCCGCCCGCCTTCCCGCTTCGGCTTCAACCCCATCAGCTGCGCTCTCTCGCCAGCCTTCTTAACGCTCAGGAACCTACCTCCATCTTCACACAACGGCTATCAGGGTCTCAGTAAACTCATCACTCCCACCGCCCCCACACAGGACACGGAACTGCCGTCACTTCCGCAACGTCGTGCGTCGCTCTCCGCTGATTGGAAGGAGCGCCTTGGGCTGTTGCGAGTCAGGCCCGGGAAGGCCGAGCGGACTGAAAGGCTAGCTACCGCCTCCTGGAGCTTGGTGGGATAATGGCATGTAGGAGTGTTAGAGGCGTCCCCGGAGGTGGTATCTGGGTATTACCGTCGCTCCGACCGAAACGGGATTTCGAGGGAGAGCAATAGAGACGTTAACTGGGCTAGAGGGGCCGGAGGTCGATAGATTGAGCGGCTAGAGAGGCCGGAGGTAAGTGGCCGTAGAAGTCGGGCGGACCCGGAATCCAGAGGAAAAGGGACCATGACTTATGCTTATCTCTTCAAGTACATCATCATCGGAGACACAGGTAACCCGCGGGCGATAATCCTCAAGCTGGGGCGGGGATCCGAAGCACCCAAATCGGGGCTTGGGGGCGGGGCTCATTTAGTGGGCTGGGCGATTAAGTGAAGCGGGGGCGGGGCGGGCCGCCGGGGGCGGGGCTCGGGGCTCCCCTTCCCCAGTCCTGGACGCCCCGACACTGGTCTGTTCGCGCTGCCTAACTCCTAGCGCACGCGTCGTCTTCTTTCAGGTGTGGGGAAGTCATGTCTCCTCCTGCAGTTTACGGACAAGCGGTTCCAACCCGTCCACGACCTCACAATAGGTAAGTGCATATACCTCTCGTAGAATAGATTATGAAATCTGAATAAATAGAAAGTTAGCAGCTTTAGTGTTCGGAGTAGAAAAGTTACGTCTCCCTATTTTGGGGTTAGTCCAAAGTTATGCTAAGTGAAGAGTGACTAAATGCTGAGAAATGGGCAGTAGTGTAATGGGGAGTAAGTAATTGAAAGGTGACGATTTAGAGATGACCATGAGGTATGTATTAGTTGCCTAAGGATTTTTTTTAAACCGATACGATTTGTATGTTTATGTAAAATCCTATGAAAACATACTGTTAATTAAAAAACTCGCCTTACTCTGCGGTAAATTAGTGTGAACCTTATTACTTTTCCAAAGTAATCACTACCGTATAGATTTTGTGTGTGTGTGTTGGAGAGGAGGAAGCAAATGGAAGAGCCATCCCAGACCTAGAATAAAAGGTACATGAAACTGGTAACTTTTGTTTTAAAGAAAAGATATGATAACCATGAGTTTCAAAAACACTCTGGTAATCGTGGTAAATATGAACATCTTCCACAAATTTGTGATATGGGATGACCTATCACAATGGGTTGTTAGTGAATTTTAACAACCCATTCCCCATAATCTCCATAACTCCAACCCAAATAAAGATTATATGTATAAAACTAGTCTTCTTGCCATGCAGATGCAGTTTCAGAATAAAATCCCTAGATCCCATTCTTATTATATCGCCACTTCCAAGACCCACATTATGGAAATCTGAAGTTACTACTGATCCCACAGTACTTATTCAGAGCCAAATAACTAAAGTGGTTAGAAAAGGATTTAGTATCAACAGGAAAATACTTTTGTAAATGACTATTGTGAACAACCACAATGTGCTAGGTGCTAAGTGATACATTGCTTAACAAGGCAAATGTGCCTACTTTGAAAGCTCCAGTGTAGGAGGTGAAGTGAGGCTGGGGGCAGATATCAATGAATAAATTACTATTGCAAAAGGGGATAAGAGGCTGCCACATCTATCAGGAAAAGCTGAAAATGGAAGCATGAGCAGGAACTAGCCAGGCAAAGGGGTTGTGGAGATGAGAGAAAAGTGATCAGGGCAAGAGGGAAGAACAGGTGCAAAGGCTCAGGAATAACAGAGATCAGGCTAATTTGGAAAACTGAAAGGAATTTAATATGGCTTGACCATGGAATTTAAAGTGAAGAGTGACAAGAAGTAAGGGTAGAGAACATCTGGGGTGGGGAAGGGAAGAGATGAAGTTTTGACACACCTAAAGGTAATGTGAGCAAGTGACAGGTTTCAATGTAGCGGAATGAAGTGATCAATCAAGTTTCCCCAGAGTCCAATATATGCTCTGTTTCTTTCCAACTTCAGTCTTCTATACCAAGATAAACAAGGTAGTTGGCTATAAAATGTGCACAAAATATGAAGGTTTCTTCATAATTAGAGGAAGTTGCATAAAAGGGGACAGAAGTTGTATTTTTTAATTCTTCACCATTGAAACTCCATTCCTCTTGTCCAGAAAGAAAACAAAATTAGTGACTTTTTTTTTTAGTAACTATCATTATTCTTGATGATGCAGTCTAGAATAGTAAGAAACAATTTTTTAAATCTGCTTACTGACTGTAAAACTTTAGAGTTGAGAGACATTCTGGATATATTGTGCCTGGGGCCCCTGAATAGCAGAAGCTAGATTAGTGCTGTTTATTACCTGCAGATCAGAATTCCTGGAGTAAAGTACTATGTAAAGATAGAAAATAGGACAAATTGTTTGACTTAGAATCAAGTATTTTTAATGTAAGTGATCGATTTTTAAGTTTTGTCTTGACATTACCTTGACAGAAGTTGAATGCCAGGTAAACCAAAACCTTTATTCACACTATCTGTTTCCAAACCCCTGTGAGGAATGCTGTTTTCTGATGAACTCTTGGAATTATTGGAGATCTGAAATGTTTCATTCTTGAGAACCTATTCTTAGATAGGTGGTTTTCTAAAAAAAGTTCTAAAATTGCAAAAAGCAAGTATTTATTGTTTCATATAGAGGACTAGAGAGTGACTTTGGGAAAATATTAGGAAATATTTTCAAAAATTTATAAGTTTTTTAAAAAGTTACAAAATTAAACATTTCTTAATCAAATTTAAGCATTAAACAATAATTCTAAAAATTCATTCACTTTTTCTATTTGATTTCTTAATTAATTTTTATCCCTATATATATGCTTTTCAGTTATATTCCTGAGGTGGTTGTCACCTAGAACACAGTTTTTAATTCTAGAAGATAAAACTTTAAGGAGCACAAAATTAATTGGAGCAAATAGGGAACTGTAATGGGCTTAGTGGCACTAAGTGGGGAGGATGAGTCATTAGCACAATGAGGACAAGCATGAACCTTTTGTCACCATGGTTATTCATGAGAATCACATTCTTTCTCTCCGTTTTCACTGACAGGCGTGGAGTTTGGGGCCCGTATGGTCAACATTGATGGAAAACAAATCAAACTTCAAATCTGGGATACGGTAAGAGAAAACAAAAAGACTTTTGTCCCAAATATAACAGTAGAGGCTGATGCAGGGATAAAGGGCTATGACAGAGGAGCTAAGGATGGAGGTCAGAGTTCAGTTCAGTTCAGTTCAGTCCCTCAGTCATGTCCAGCTCTTTGCGACCCCATGGACTGCGGCGCGCCAGGCCTCCCTGTCCATCACCAACAGCTGGAACCTGCTCAAACTCATGTCCATCGAGTCAGTGATGCCATCCAACCATCTCATCCTTTGTCATCCCCTTCTCCTCTTGCCTTCAATCTTGCCCAGCATCAGGGTCTTTTCCAGTGAGTCAGTTCTTCGCATCAGGTAACAAAAGTATTGGAGCTTTAGTTTCAACATCAGTTCTTCCAATGAATATTCAGGACTGATTTCCTTTAGGATGGACTGGTTTGATCTCCTAGGAGTCCAAGGGACTCTCAAGAGTCTTCTCCAACACCACAGTTCAAAAGCATCAATTCTTTGGCGCTTAGCTTTCTTTTTTTTCCCCTTCCCCTCCCCTCCCTCGCGCTTAGCTTTCTTTATAGTCCAACTGCCACATCCATACATGACTACTGGAAAAACCATAGCTTTGACTAGACAGACCTTTATTGGCAAAGTAATATCTCTGCTTTTTAACATGCTTTCTAGGTTGGTCATAGCTTTTCTTGCAAGGAGCAAGCGTCTTAATTTCATGGCTGCAGTCACCATAAGCAGTAATTTTGAAGCCCAAGAAAATAAAGTCTGTCACTGTTTCCATTGTCTCCCCATCTACTTGCCATGAAGTGATGGGACCGGATGCCATGATCTTAGTTTTTTGAATGTTGAGTTTTAAGCCAGCTTTTTCACTGTCCTCTTTCACTTTCATCAAGAGACTCTTTAGTTCTTCTTCGCTTTTCTGCCATAAGGGTGGTGGTGTCTGCACATCTGAGGTTATTGATATTTCTCCTGGCAATCTTGATTCCAGCTTGTGCTTCATCCAGCCTGGCATTTTGCATGATGTACTCAGCATATAAGTTAAATTAAAATGGTGACAGTATACAGCCTTGACATACTCCTTGCCCAATTTGGAACCAGTCCATTGTTCTATATCTGGTTTTAACTGTTCCGTTTTGACCTGCATACAGAGGTCAGAGGAGGTCAAGTGAAATCAAAGAGACAGGGAAGCTTTTACTTCCATCTGTTACAGTTACAAATTCTGAACGCCACGTCTTTTTGTTTCAAATAACCCAAGTATATATGAGTTTGCTTTGGTAAATATATTGATTAAATAATCCCAAATTCAGGAATTTCCTAGCAGTCCAGTGGTTAGGACTTGGCACTTTCAGTGCAAGGGCAGCATAAGGGTTTGATCCCTGGTCAAGGAACTACTATCCCACAAGTCATGCAGCGTGGCCAAAAAAACCCCAAAAAACTCAGATTCATTTGCATCTTACTTTGAAGTGCATTTTGATTCTTAAGAAATGAGCCTATCTGATTTTGTAGGAATGGATACTTTATATATCTTGAAATTTTATATAATATGATGCTTCCATTTGCGGGAAATGAGAAAACTTAATTCTCTTTATCTCCATCTTAATTCTTTGCTGCTTCGGATTTTTTTTAAAACAGGAGATGGACAAAGATACCTCAGACTGATGCAGATCAACCCAAATTGAATGGCTTACTCTTTCTAGCTTTTTTTTTTAATATTTATTTTTATTCATTTTTTTGACTGCACCAGCTCTTAGTTGCAGCAGCAGGATCTTTAGTTGCAGTATGTGGGATCTAGTTCCCCGGCCAGGGATCAAACTCTGGCCCCCTGCATTGGGAGCTCAGAGTCTTAGCCACTGGACCACCAGGGAAGTCTCTTTCTAACTTATTGTCTCGCAAACTTTGGTTCAGGAAATTGATTGAGATTAAGAAGTAAAGTGATTTGATTTAAAAAATCATTTGTGATAGTGCATTGGAAGTGTTTTCATTTGCAAAAGTTAAATGCTTCTATTGATTCAACCATCACACAGGCCTCCCTCAGACTTCCCTTTTAGCTCTTGGGAGGACTTGAGGAAGGAGAGGGCTTTCAACCATGGCGGAAGAGGAAAAAAAGTAAGTTAGAAGCCAACCAGGAATCAAATGATTTAAGACATAAAACTATTAGGGAAAAAAATAAAATTTAAGTGAGCTCTTGGAGGGAAAAAATATGTTTTAGATCTTAAAGTGTGGTTAATATTACCAACAAAGTTCTTTAGAGTTACTTTTGGATTTTGATGTTCTAACAGGTATGCAATAAGACACTTATGTGACTGTTGTAGTAAGAGATGGTTGTACTGTTGGAAATGTAACCTAAAACTAGTGTACTAGAACAGTCTTCTTACCTTAAATCTGGCTTTAGATTATGTGACATAATGTTTAAGAAAACAGATGTTTTTGCTATGGAGTATTATACTAAGCTCCTACATTTAAGTTATGGATTTGGTGTTTATAGAATTTTAAACTTTTGGCCAGTTACTGAACTGACCTTTGAGCCTAATTTTTCACATTTGTGTTAATTGTTAGTATCTTATCGTTGGTATATCGTGTAAAAGCTATTTATTTTCCCATGTCCAGATCTTAGTTTCCCTATCTTTGAGAACAATAGTCTCCCATCCTAATCTTTATGTAGGGACAGAAGGATAAGCAATTTCAAGAATGTGAAAACTTTTCTGATAGAATAGAGTCAATGCCCAGGGAATTCATATTTAGATGATTTTGCTTCCTTTGATGAAACCTGTCCTCCCCAAAACCCAAAAACCTATTCCATCAAGAAAGCAAAAGTATCCTGTATATGGGGACATTAGTAAATTGCTCAGTTATAAATAAATCTTTATATCTTGGCCCCACTGGAAATGAAAATAGAGAATAAACTTGAATTTTTTTTAGGACAGCTCTGTCCTGGGCCCTGGACTTCTTCCCCTAGTCATTATTCCTATTTGCTATGACATGATCCCAGTAAGGGACATCTTGGTAGTCCTGCCTTTGCATATGTGTGTGCTAAGTCACTTCAATCATGTCCAATGCGTTGTGACCCTGTGGACTGTAGACCACCAGGCTCCTCTGTCCATCGGATTCTTCAGGCAGGAATACTGGAGTGGGTTTCCATGCCCTCCTCCAGGGTATCTTCCCAATTCAGGGATCAAACCCACGTCTCTTAAGTCTCTTGCAGTGGCAGAAGGGTTCTTTACCATTAGCACCATCTGGGAAGTCCCGTCCTGCCTTTATCAGTCACTAAAGGTCAGTATATGCCTAATTTAAGTGCCTTGTATCTAATTTTCTACGTTGATCCATTGGAATGAAACTTGTATTATATAGAGCATTGGCATTCTAAGATAATTTTCTAAGACAAAGGAGTGGAAACAAAAATAGAAACAAAAAACAAAGGTGATATGTTCAGCATCATATGGGAATGAAAAATACTCAGAGTTTCTAGTTCTATTTCCGATTCTCTCCTAGGGGACATTGTGTGGAAATTTCTTTGTCACATTGACTGTAGGGTAAATACATTCAGTGACAGGGAGCCAGGGATGCTAAACATTCAGCAGTTAAATGGACAGTCTCACAGGAAGAACTGACCCACCCAAAATATCAACTGTACTCCCGCTGAAAGATACTGATTTCCTACCTGGACTTCTTCCTGGGCATTCAGGTTTTCTTTTTGCCAATTCTCTTTTCTTCATAGAAGTTCTTTTGTAAAATTAAGTCCTTTGTGTTAGTGTGGCATCTGATCAAGTAACTTCTCTGCAAATAATCTGGTTTTGTTGGGATTTTTTTTGTTGCCACATTGATGGAAAAGGCTGGACAAGAATCCTTCCGTTCCATCACCCGTTCCTACTACAGGGGAGCAGCCGGTGCACTGCTGGTGTACGACATTACAAGGTGAGTCAGATCTGCTGGGTGAGAGGGAGACTGTTTCCTCTGTTCTCACAATCTTTTTAATCCACTGAATCTAGTAAGAATGCTAAAGAGGAATTGCCTCTTCTAATTTTTCTTTACACATAAAAGTTTCCCCCTTTTCCTATGCATTTGGAATTGCTTTGGCATTTTGAAATGGGCCTCTGACCCACTTTTGAAATTTCTCTGCTGTAGGCGTGAAACCTTCAACCACCTGACCTCATGGTTAGAGGATGCCCGGCAGCACTCTAGTTCCAACATGGTTATCATGCTGATTGGGAATAAGAGGTAACATTTTATTTGTATAAATAATAAGTACTAGAAGTTGTCTGGTACTCTTTGGATATTGAATCATTTGGGACCTAAACTTTTTTAGTTTAGATTCATTAGTGTCTGAATTTTAAAAAGTTTTTTTATTGTAGTAAAATATATGTAATATAAAACTTACCATTTTAACCTTTTTTTTTTTCATTTTGACCATTTTTAAGTGTACAGTTCCATGGCATTAAGTAACTTCACATTGTTATACAACCATCACCACCATTTATCTCTAGAACTTATCTTCCCCAACTGAAACTCTTTTCCCATAAACACTAATTTCACGTTCCCCATCCCACTATTGTTTAGTCGCTAAGTTGTGTCCACCTCTTTGTGACCCTATGGACTGTGGCCTGCCAGACTTCTCTGTGGGATTTTCCAGACAAGAATACTGGAGTGGGTTGCCATTTCCTTCTTCTGGGGATCTTCCCAGCCCAGGGATTGAAACCGCATCTCCTACACTGCAGGTGGATTCTTTCCCTCTGAGCCATCAGGGAACATCCCCATCCCACTAGCCCCTACCAATCGCCATTCTACTTTCTGTCTCTTCTGACTACTTTAGGAATCTTACAATATTTGTCCTCTTGTTCCTGGCTTTTGTTTAGCATAACATCCTCAACGTTGATATATATTGTAGAGTGTGTCAGATTTTTCTTCTGTTTTAAGGCTAGATAGTAATCCATTGGATGTATTTACCACATTTTCTTTATTATCCATTGATATACACTTCGGTTGCTTCTAACTTTTGGCTGTTGCGAATAATGCTGCTGGTCAGCATGGGTGTACGAAGATCTCCGTGGGTCCCTGCTTTCAGTTCTTTAGGATATATGCCCAGAAGTGGAACTGCTGGATCTTACGGAAATTCTGTTTAATTTTTTGAGGTACTGCTGTACTGTTTTCCATAGTGGCCGCACTACTTAACATTACTACTCTCAGTGCACAAGCATTCCAGTTTCTTCACATCCTTAGCAACATTTGTTATTCTCAATGAATTTTCTAAGGCACCCATAGGCCAAAAGACATACTTGATAGTTTTGTTATTAAATAGTTAGGTCTAAACAAAATAGCAGGTATTTTTGTCATAGCAACTGAGTGTTTGAAAAACGAAAAACATGAATTAAAAGGAAAAGAATTCCTTATTTCATTCTTAAGTAACCGTAATTACTTGCTAATGACCTGTATATGCCTATCAGGCACAGCACAGCGTGTCAAACCCTGGAGTTAATATTGGACACTTACCACTCTCTTTTCTGTTGCAAATTGATTTTTGTGCAGTGTTTGCTTTTTGTCACAGCAGCTGCCAAGAATGCAGCCTCACAAAGAAGTATAAATGTTGAATCTATCATGATCTGATTTTGACACTGCCAATTATATTAAGCTTGTATTTATGTGGGGGCTTCTCTGGTGGCTCAGTGGTAAAGAATCCGCCTGCCAGTGCAGGAGACATGGGTTCTATCCCTGGGTTGGGAGATCCCTGGAGAAGGAAATGGCAACCCCCTTCAGTGTTCTTGCCTGGGAAATCCCATGAACAGAGGGGCCTAGCAGGCTACAATCCATGGGGTTGCAAAAGGGTCGGATATGACTTAGCGACTGAACGACAACAATTTATGTGGTGTTCTGATGTGGAGTGTTGCTGTGTTTCCCTTGAGCATTTAAAATAACCTGTGGCACCTAGAACTGTGGCCACAGACTGATTATACTCATTGGTTCAGCCAATTTGTGAAAAACCTTAACTACATCCTAGATATTATGCTAGACCCTGAGTGGGCAAGGTGAAAACAAAATCCTGCCCTCATTCCCACGGAGCTCACAGTCTAGTGGGGACATAGATATTAAATATAAAATGATTTGTGTCTGTTTACAAATTATGATAAATGCAGTGAAGGGGGGAAAAAGGGCACTATAAAAAAGAGTACCAGGATATTCATTTATTTTTTTATAATTTTATTTGGGCTTCCCTGGTGACTCAGATGGTAAAGAATCTGCCTGTGATGCAGGAGGCCAGGGTTCGATCCCGGGGTTGGGAAGATCCCCTGAGGGGATTGGCTACCCACTCCAGTGTTCTTGCTTAGAGAATCCCATGAACAAAGGAGCCTGGGGTCTTAGTTGCTGCTTGTGGGCTTTCTCTAGTTTTGGAGAGCGGGAGCTACTCACTAGTTGCAGTGTTGAGGCTTCTCGATTTTGTGACTTCTCTTGTTGCAGAGCACAGGCTCTAAGGCATGCAGGCTTCAGTAGTTGTGGCAAATGGACTCAGTAACTGTGGTACACCAGCTTAGCTGCTCTGCTCTGAGGCATATGGGATCTTCCCAGACAGTTGGACCACTGGACCACCGGGGAAGCCCCAGGGTACTTACTTTTGATTTAGAGTTGTAATTTAAACTGGACTCTGAAGGATGGGCAAGAGTTCACGGGGCAAAGAGTTTTTAAAAGGGTGTCAAATAGGGGTAAGAAACTCTGTGAAAGCTTTAAACCGGGAAGAAGCTTGATAAGTTTATAATGTTGAAAGAAACCTGGTGTGGTTGGACTAAATCAAAGGGGAATGGTACAAGATGAGGTTGGAAAAGAAGGCAGGGGCCAGATGTCATGGCACTTACAGACCTGAGTGAGGAGTCTGGATTTTATTCTAATCACTGTAGGAAGCATTTAAGAGTTTTAAGCAGAGAAGTAGCTTGATCAGTGGAGAAGGAGATGGCAACCCACTCCAGTGTTCTTGCCTGGAGAATCCTGTGGACAGAGGAGCCTGGTGGGCTGCTGTCCATAGGGTCGCATAGAGTCGGACATGACTGAAGCGACTTAGCATGCATGCATGCGTTGGAGAAGGAAATAGCAGCCCACTCCAGTATTCTTGCCTGGAGAATCCCAGAGACGGAGGAACCTGGTGGGCTGCCGTCTATGGGGTCGCACAGGGTCGGACACGACTGAAGCGATGTAGCAGCAGCAGCTTGATTGGATTTTTAAAAGATCTGGAGGGGAGCAAGGGTTGATGTGGATCTCAGCTGCGGCAGTCCAAGTGAGAAAGCGGTGTATTGGACTAGGTCAGTGACACTGGAGAGAGAGAGAAAGGATGATTGTAAGGTACATTTTGGAAGTACTTCGCTTTGGGGTGAATTGGGTATTTGGTGTGAAGGAAAAAATGTTAATAATAACCTTGGTTTTTGGCTTGTGCCATTTATGGAATTGTGGAAGTGTAGGGCAGAGTCATTTTGGGGGGAAAAGATGATGTTTCATTTTGATGTACATCTGAGGTGCCTTTTACACATAAGTAGAAATGAACAAGCAAATGGACAAACAGATCTGGAACTTAAAGGTATGTCTGGGCTACAAGTTCAAATTTAGGACTGTTGCCATTTCGGGTTAGTTCTTCCTTGGTCTGCACACAGCTCATGAAAAATAATCATACGTTTTGCAGATTTGTTGTTCTCTAGTGGACTTACTCCTGGATTTTTTCTTTTCATGGTGAAAAACCGGAATCTTCCCAAATGAAAATTTCCGGTTTGAAAAGTGAAAATCGGACAGTTCCCCATAATCTTATTCCGAATCCTTTTATCCTGTTTCATAAAGTCTTTCCATGCCACTTTATTCTTTCTCAGTCCTTGGCTCTGTCCTCAGTATCACCTAATTTTGTCCATATGATTTTCTCTGAATCCTTCATTTCCCTGGTGTCAGGCTGCTGTTTATTATACATGTTAATAATGATACTAGTGAGTTAAGGCAACTGGGTTCTCCTTATTGCTTGCTGTCTCTCTTCTTGTGGCTTGATTCCAGTAATGAGGAAGACAGTTATCACCATGTGGCGTGACATCCATGACTTTTCTACCTCCCAGTAACTGGAATTTCCCTTTCCTCTTCTTTCCTTTGGTTTAACTGGATCTCCTTCAAAAAAGAAGAATACAGCATAGACCTTGAGAAACTATGGGGCTTGCCTAACCTTTTCTAAACCCTTTTCTCTGTAATAAGAGATAAGGCATTATCCTCAACTGTGCAGCTGCTGTCAGGAATCTGATCTGAAGAATATTTTCCCAGAGGCTACAGAGATCAGTAACCATGTACAAGAGGACACCATTCAGGATCTGCATTCTTTATGGATTAACTGGCAGTTGAAACAGCTGTGCGATTCTTTTAGAATAAATTTCTTCTTTCACTTGGACCTTTTTTTAGTTTTCTCCCCAATTAATGATTAATCTCTTGCAGTGACTTAGAGTCTCGTAGGGATGTGAAGAGAGAAGAAGGAGAAGCCTTTGCTCGGGAACATGGACTTATATTCATGGAAACTTCAGCCAAAACCGCCTGCAATGTTGAGGAGGTACTATTTGGGAAAAAGTAGGGAAAGCTTTTCAGAGATTACACCGTATCTTTGTCCCTCCCCGCCCACCCCTGAATTCTCCTCCCCTTAAAACATGGGTAAGAAAAGGATGTCTTGTGGTCATAGTGACCATGTATCTCCCTTTAAGGGAATTGTTCCATTTGTTTTTCCTTGATTCCTAAGGCTTTACTTTTATATTAAGTAACATTACCTGGTAAGTGTGGATTGACACTACTGTTATTTGTAAATCATCTTAGTTGGAGGAACTAATGAATTCCATCTTAGTCATTCCTAAGTCTGGTGTTAAATCTGTCTAAGTAACTGACTCAGAAGAGCGCATGTTTGTTTTTTTTGCAGAGTGTGCCAATCTGGGAACCCTAGGTACATCTTGTGTCAGTACCACAATACCATAGAATCCCTTTTTTCTATTTGAAATTGTTTGGAATGGCTTTTACAGGGCCTTTGGAGGACCTTTTGTATTTTTACTCAATTCTCCTAATGGTTCCCAATTCACCTTTGAAATCTAAATAGGAATAATATTTGTATTCTCTTTTCCTAATTTCTCTACCTAAACTTGAGCCTAATACTATGATTTATGTCTCCTTCAGGCCTTCATTAACACAGCCAAAGAAATATATAGGAAGATCCAGCAGGGTTTATTTGATGTCCACAATGAGGTAAGATAGGGTGAGGGGCTGACAGTTAATTTTGCTTTGTTTTAAACAGGACAGGATGCTTCCTAGAATATAAGCACTTCCTGTCTAACATGATACTGTATGAAGCTATATGAACTGGCATAGCTTGTCTGTTTTTTTCTCAAGTCTGAGACCCAGACTGCTTAAAGAGATTATTAATTGCCGATCTAAAAGGTTTATACATTATGGGAGGTTTTCTTCTCAACCTCAGGTTTTTACTATTCCAAAGCATGGGGGAGGTGTGATTCTTAATTGTTTAGCTTGTCATTTCTATAAAGCACATTTGGGGGAAAAAAATGAATTATATGCTGCCACTTCTGTTTTACTTACTCTTAATCACATCCTGATTGTGCACATAGCTATGAAACTTAAGTATAACAGTCACTTTTAAAATGGGCACAGAGGCCACTTCCAGTGATCTATAATACCACAGCTGGTCATCTCATCTTCACCGTCACAGATTATTGTTCCACAGCAGTCTGCCTAAGGCGCATGGTTACCTGCCAAGGCCATACTTGCTTCTAGATATTGTAATTAATGATTTCTCCTTTTATCCCTCTTTCTCCCACTTACTTTCACACTGAGGTGGGAACTATTGCCTCTTTTCTCTCACAGGCAAATGGCATCAAGATTGGACCCCAGCAGTGTATTTCAACCTCAGTGGGATCCAGTGCCTCCCAGCGGGGCTCTCATGACACGGGGGCTGACTCTGGCTGCTGCTAAACAACTGGCCTGGACTCTTTTTTTTCCTTCCTGGAACAGCTTCAGATCAATAGGCTTAAAGAAAGAGGTCTTACATGCTTTGGCTGGGAAGAGCCTCTTTTCAAGGTGTGATGTTTTGCCTTTCCACTTAAAGATCAGGGGAGAATTTGGGCCCTTATTGACCTGTCCTTCTTCAGGGACGTGAGCATTCCCTATAGATTAGGGCTCTTCTCATCCCGTTTTAATTTGTAAAATGTTAGGATCAAAGCTGATTGTCATGGTAGTTCAAAAATAAATTCTTTTATAAGCAGACACAATCTACTCCCCACCAAGAATTAGTAACAAAGGTCTAGGACGTTCTGCTTGAGCCCTTGAGGTGACTGGGATCTGCTGTCCTTTGGGTTTTAGGTCCTCAGTCTAGGGACTTCACTGAGGTTTTTCACTTGTCACTGCATAAGAATTGTTGCAGAAGGCAGTTCCTTCTACTTGAACTGCTCAGGGATGATGAACACTTCTCCACCATCCCATTTCTAGTTTCTCTATTTCAGAGTAACTACAAAACTTTTGAGAGTAGTAGAGTTGTTCCTGGACCTGTAGCCACTTACTATCATTACCTAGAGAAAGCATCTTTCCCTGTTTGTTTTGTTTTAGGGACCAGACCTAACATTGGTAAGTCAGTCTTTCACCAAATAGACTCCTACTGTTTTATTCCACTCACTTCTTAAGGAGACCTATTTAGACTTTGTGTCAAGCTAATCTGCCTACAGTACATGACATATTTGCTTCCACTCCTATGCCTTTGCACATGCCCTACGATACACTACTGTTATACTCAAAGTCCACATTTTTTTCCTTTGGAAAAGCCTTCTTTGACTGACCTAGGGACTTCTGAACAATTATTGACACAGTACCTTTTAGTTTTCATATATTGTTTATTCATATGTATATTTATTTGTATTTATGTTACTTTGTAAATATGTTTTATAGTAGCCTTGTGTTTGGAACCTGTCTCCCCATATAGGCTGTAAGCTCCTTGAGAGCAGGAACCCCTGGTATCCTTTTATTTTTGTAAACCACTTCCTCCACCATTCCTTCACAGTGCCTAGTGCTACTCGTGTGACCACTAAATTTGACTGACAAAGACTTGGAACAGGTTTATTTTAGGCTGCAGAGGAAACAAAAAGCCTTACAGTCATCTCTTTGTAATTCTATCTCAGTCTCTTCCATCTGCTTACCCTGAATTCTTTATTGCTCTTCTCCTTCTCCTGTCTCTCCTTTCCCTGGCTCTTTGCCTCTATTCCATGCAGCATACAATAAAGCTGCCTGCTTCCAAGCAGTCAAATAAGTGGATACTTCTCCATTTGAAGAGCATACAATACTATCCTAGTCAAGTCTGTCTTTGCTGTACTTATCATGCAGCCTTCTGGGTCAGTTGCTATACTGATGTCTCATTTTCTTCCACAGCACTGCGGTCTTGTGAATTTTTTTCCTTTTTTTTTTGGTTGTCGATAAATTGTTTCATTATTAAATATATGCATGTATCCAAGCTGCTCACATTTCATGTGTCATTTCTGATTGTATCCCAAACATAAGTAGATGCTCTTAGTCTAGGGAATTGTATCAAAGGTATTGGAGGAAGCCTTCTTGAGATACATTCATTTTATACTGGATTCTGCCCCCAGTAGCAGTAGTATTAGTTACACTGTACCACAGGAAGTTGGAAGGCGTATGGAGTACTGCTTTGATTAAGGTTTGGTTTGGTTTGGTTTTTAAAAACTCCTACCTCATTTGAAAAGGATTAAGGCTGTTGAATTTGGCTGGTCTGCTCATACCAGAGACAGAATTAAAGTAAATAAAACTTTATGGATTCTGTACAGGAGTTTTCCTCTATCAGTCAAAGAAACCTTTAGTGATCAGGATGAATCAGAACATTGATCAGACATAGCATTCTGTCTAGAGCTGCTGCTTTTGGAGTGTATCTTTTTTTTTTAACATGGTAAACAAATGGAGTATCTCTTGAATTGATAATCCCATATTATCCAAAAACCACTCATAACCTTCTTTACTCAGGTATTTCATCAGTTTTAAGCATAAGAAATGAGAGTATCTGGGCAAATTCATGACCTTTGTTGATCACTGCTGATGTTCTGAAATGGTCATGAAGAGTTACAGAAAATGCATCTCCCACCCCCATGTGAAGAATACTGGTTATAAGATAATGAGTGTTGGTTGATTTTTGAACCCAGGACCCTTGGAAATCGTACTACTTATAGCAGTCTAAGTCATTACTATTTATAGGTCATTGCATATGGCAGGGATACCCATTCCCCTTTCTGTCTGTGCTTAATAACTGGTTCCTTTGATAGCAGGTTTATTTTGAAACAAATAAGCAGAAGGATAATAGGTTCTCATTCTAAAAACTATAATGAAGGTCATATCTGTACATGCATTTACACATTGTTCTGGTAAGCCCTAATATTGACATCAAATTTGATATAAGGACAGTGGTAGCCAAGGAAGAATTTGGCCAACAGATTTTGTTCAATATACAGAGAAATGTACTTGGCCAAATCTTCTGTGATAAAATGTTGACTCACATGACTCCTTAAGGTCTCTGAGCTCCTACTATGTGTGACCATGCAAATGTTACTTCTTGAGAAATTCCTTTAATGATAGGGAAAGACACCCTTCACTCAGGATTTCCAAAAAATTAAAAACTTCCTGTAGCAAGTTTTAATAGCAGTAAACTAGAAAGCATGGGTAGATCTTTCTCATTGAGGGTAAGAGAATTTCACCTACTGTAAAATTATTTCCATAACAATTTACTCAATCATTATCGTTAGGAAATTACTCTGCAGTCAATATTTCTAAGGCAGGCTCTTAATGCCCTCCTTGCATATAATTTATCCTCTAAGGCTTACATCGTTTGCTCTATCCATATTCACAAGTAGTTTGGGTCTATTGATGAATTTAGACCTTTTTTTTTTTTAAGTTGAAATTCTTTCCTGAATTCTGTTCGTTTCCAACTGACTAGCAGAACTCTGTACTGTCAGTCAGAACACCGGAAAACTTGCGAGCGAGACATAAGGATTAGAAGCATCTAGAATAGATGCATAACCTATGCTGATGTTATGCTGATATCCTGAGGACTGAGAAATCTCTAAAGGATTATCCCAGCAACTCAGAAAATCCACTCACTTCAAGAATTAATTTTTGCTTCTTTGATTTGGTTAAGATCGCTTCACTTGTATGAGAGAGGGTGGGGGTTGCCACTAGGCACACTCAGCATTATTCCAGGTTTCCTCCCCATCGTGACTGAGGGGTACTCTGATTACGTAAAGGAGAGTACGTTTGGGCTGAACCTAAGCAGTCGGACAGGACGCCGAAAAGGGCTTTAGATTCTTTAAGCACTCCTTCCTCCTCCCGGCCCTAAAGGCACCAGCCCGATCCAAGATGGCTTCCCAGAAACAGGTAACTAAATGTTTTAGTTTAGAGCGCCCCCAACGGCGGGGGTCAAGAAAAGAAACATTCGGAGAGATCCGAAAGCCAGTGAACGGAGAGCGGTCAGAGACAAGGTACCGCCAGATTTTATTTTCAATCAGGCATATGTGTGGTTGCCTCGGCCTTTTAGGACCTCCCATCCTCAAGAGACTTCCTGGATGGAGCTCATATTACCCTGCTGGAAGAGGCGGGGCGTCGGCCCTGCCATTGGCGGGTGGGAGCGTAGGTGGGCGGAGCAAGGGAGCATGGACTACTAGCAAGCTAGATTGAGGCGAGGGCTGGCCATGCTCCGCCGGAAGGCGCCTTGTTCTCCGAAAGGGTGAGTTGAAACGCTGGCTGGAAAGGAAGCGCCGGGACTTGTTCAGGTAGGCTTTTAAGCACACGCCCGCCGCTCAGTGCTGGTCCAAGAGTCTTTGTAAAAGCTGAGGCTCTTAGATTGGTTTTCATAACTCATCCTCCTCCTCGCTCCCCCGCCCTCTGTCCTTCCCTCAGTTGTGCGGGATCAGGTGCTGGGTGATGCTCCGGACTGAACCATTCTCCTTTGTGAGAGGCCGGGGGAGAGGGCGGCTGCCGGCCCGCGGGGCCCGAACCGGGCTGATCCGCGAACGCGGCTGCCCCGGCCCCTGTAAAGTTTTTAGGCCTTGTCATTGCATTACTGGGATCGTGTAGATTTGAGGCAGATCCGTTTTCTCTTTGCCCCTTCAGAGGGAAAACTCCCCGGCTCCGTTTGGTTACTCCACACTTTGGACTCAGAAGTGGGAGTTTGGGGTTTGGGTTTTTTTTTTTTAGCAATAAAGGTGGTTAGGAGAGCATGAGGTGAGCATGTGCGATTGTTTTACATTATTAGGTGTAATTTCTGTGGATCTTTGGGAGAGCGGAGCAGGCTTTTGGACAGTGTTTAGAGGTGATGGGAAGAGAGTAGCTCAAGCTTTGCATCTCCATTGACAGGTCCGCAGAGCTCACTGGTTTTCTGTTGCATTATGTAAACTCTTCAGTGGCAGAAGACCCCTCCCCCTTCCTCGGAGCGAAAGCAGTTTCTTTATTTACCTGTCTCCAGTGTCGCAGGAAATTTGCCTGCCTTTGCGGCAGCTGTGCAAATGCAGCAGCTCCTACCTTTTAAGGGGCAGTCCTAAATGATTAAGGTTTTCAAGGAAGAAGTGAATAGTGGTATATAGATGTTTGGTGGACCAATCTCTTTTCAATGACTGAGAACCGTGAGCCAGAAGTGGAAGACTTAGAACTTGATGTCTTTTTCTTTTAAAGAATAGACATAGTGGAATGCCCCAAACACCAGAGGAGCTGCGTTTTCTGTCTACTGCATCCTACCATCGCCCTAGCATCCACAGCTTGTTTACTCTTCATGTTGTTCTGAACCTATCAGTTCAGCCGGAGATTCTCTGCCTGTTATCCTTAGCATCAGGTGAGGTCCTATCCACTGTGGGGCACTTTAGGTTCTTGAAGGTGAGTTTGTGATTTGAATAATATTCTCTTGTTAGTCCATTAGATATGTCTTCTGCTTA